GCAATATTTTTTTGTTAGTTCTCTGATTGATAAACATTTTCTTTGTTTATTTTGAGCATAATTGTTTTGAGATTATTGATTGTATGGTATTTTGTTTGGAAAATGTCTTGTGAAATGTTGATATATCGAACTTAGAAATTAGGCAATGCATTTGGATTTTTTATATATGTTATATTCTTACATTCAGATAAAATTAGAATTCTGATGATATATTTTGTCAAGTTATATAAGGATGTCACTTTGGATTCAGTGGCCTCAGCCTTTGTGGCAGACCCAACTTCGGATGATTTGTAAGGTGTACCGGTGCATGATTATTTGCATAATATTCGAACAATGATTATTATTGCTTGTTTTAGATTATTATTATTATTATTTGTTGTTTGAAAAATGTTATGTGAAATATGTTGATATATCAGATTTAGAATTTATGCGATGCATTTAGATTATTTGTATATGTAATATTTTACATTCGGATTAGATCAAAATTCGAATGAAATATTTTATCATGTTATATTGGGTTTGGATTGATAGGGGAAGTTTAGTGTATTCACTTGATGTGTTGAATGTCACTTCGAATTAAGTAGCCTTTGTCTTTGTGGCGGACCCTACTTCGAATGGTGTATTGTAGTTAGTGGTTCTATGGAACATACGTTTCGGACGGTGTGTAAGGCGTATGGGTGCATTATCATTTACATAATATTCAGACTGTGATTATCATTGTTTGATTCGATCTATGATGTGAATTGTGACTTTATGCACTTTAAAGACACCGCGTGAATCTTTTTGTCAAGGTGTGTCACTATAGGATGTTATACTTTGTTTGTGAGGTTTCTGATTGACTTACATTTTCACTGTTTATTACGATCATGATTGTTTTGCGATTATTTGTTGTCTGGTATTTTGTTCGAAAAATGCTACGTGAAATAATTGATATATCAGACTTAGAATTTATGTGATGTATTCGGATTATTTAAATAGGTAATATGCTTACACTCAGATGAAAATTGTTATAATGTTTTATTGGGTTGAGATTGATAAGGGAAGTTTCATGTATTTATTCGATGGGGTGAAATTCACTTCGAATTCAGGGTTTATGCTTTTGTAGCGAATCTTACTTCGGATGGTCTATTGGAGTTAGAGTGGTTCTGAAAACTTACTTTTCGAACGATGCGTAAGTCGTATGGGTGCATGATCATTTGCATAATATTAGGACTGATTAATGTTTGATTTGGATTATAATTATTATTGGTTGATATGGACTATGATATGAATTGTGATTTTATGCTTTTTAAAGATATTGTGCAAATCGTTGGTCGTTGTTACAATATTTTTTCACGGTGTATCTCTCTAGGGTGTTGTATTTTGTTTCTGAGTTATGTAATTGATTGACATTTTTTTTTATTATGAGCATGATTTTTTTTGTTTGGGAAATGTTATGTGAAATATTTTTATATTTCAGACATAGAATTTATGCTGTGCATTTGTATTATTTGTATATGTAATATTCTTCCATTTAGATGAAATATGTTATCAATTTATATTGGGTTGGGATTGATACAGAAGTTTTAGTGTATTCACTCCATAGGGTGAATGTAACTTTAGATTCAAGGGCATATGCCTTTTTGGTGGACCACACTTCGGATGGTGTGTTATAATTAGAGTGGTTCTCGGACTTTACTCTTTGAACAATAAGTTGTATGTGTGCATGATCGTTTGCATAGTATTCAGACTCTGATTATTAATGTTTAATTTGGAATATGTTTTTTATTGTTGTTTTGAGTTATGATGTGAATTGTGATTTTACACTTCAAAGATTGGGAATTGTTGGTCGCTGCTAGAATATTTTGTCAAGGTGTGTATTTATAGGGTGTTATATTTTGTTTATGAGTTATTTGATTAATTAATTTTTTTTATTGCGCGCATGAATATTTTACGATAAATGATTATCTGATATTTTGTTCAGAAAATGTTGTGTGAAATATGTTGATATATCAGACTTGGAATTTATGCGATACATTTGAATTATTTTTATTTTTAATTTTTTTACATTTGGATCAGATTAGTGTTCGAGTGAAATATCTTATCATGTTATATTGAGTCTTGATTGATAGTTCAATGTATTCACTCGACATAGTGAATGTCAATTCAAATTCAATGGCCTTTTCCTTTGTGTCGAGCCCCACTTTGAATGGTTTGTAAGGTGTATGGGTCTATGAGTATTTGCATAATATTTTGAATATGATTATCGTTGTTTGATTTTGTCAAGGTGTGTCCCTATAGGGTGTTATTTTTGGTTTGTGAGTTTTTTTGATTGGGTGTCATTTTCTTTGTTTATTGCTAGAAAAACGTTATGTAAATATGTAGATATATTGTACTCAGAATTTATGCGATGCATTCGAATTATTTGTATATATAATATTCTTACATTCGGATCTGATTAGAATTCGAATGAAATATATTATCATGTTATATATTGTTTGGATTGATAAGAGAAGTTCAGTGAATTCATATGACGGGGTGAATGTCACTTAGAATTTCAAAATTAATGGTATATGTTTTTGTAATGGACCCCATGGGATTTCCAAAATGTCTGATAGTAAATCAAATATTTTGGTCCCATCCCCCTACGGGATTTCTAAAGCTGAACGTGGATGCTGCTATTAATGGTGATTGGAAGGCTTGTGATTTAGGCGGGATTTTAAGAGACGAGTCTTGCACAGCGTTAGGATCTTTTCAAGAAGCTGCTGGTCTGGGTCCTTCTTTAATGGAATTTAAGGCCATTAAACATGGTTTAATTTTCTTTGAATCTTCTAGCTGGTGCTCTAAGAGACGGTTGATTATTGAGATTGATAGTAAGTTGTCTGTGGAGTGGATTAAGAAATTGCAGATAAGATAAGGAACTTGGAGGGCGTTATTCGTTGGATAGCTAGGCTAGCAAACTTAGAGGCAGACGTTTTAGCAAAGTCTAAAACTGGCTAAGATAAGGAGTTTTGGTTTGGTTTTGCTTTTTTCATGTTTTTTGGTATTATCTATTGTACGGGGAGTAAGTTTGGTTTTAGCAAAATCCCAAATACATTGTGATGAATGTAGATGCGGCCATGTTTCTTGATTTATTTAGGTTTTTTAAAAATTTGATTTATGTTCTAATTATATATTTGGGATTTTGTTTTTTACCTAAATCTAATAAACTATTGACATTTTGGGTTTTCTTTTCTGATTACATGTTAGTGTTGTTTTAAATCGTTATTTTATTTGTAAAGGTTTGTCGGTTCTACAGGTGACCAATTCATTTTCATGTATGCCTGGTTTGGTTTCTCTTTTTATGTTTTTCTCTGTCTTTGCTTTCTAAGAAAAATTATTAAAAATAAAATTTAGAACATTGTATTTTTATATTATTTGTTTGTAAAAGTAGTTTCTATATATATGTCTACTTTTACAAACAAATATGTCTTCTTGATCTATACTTTACCTATAAATATGTCTTATTTTCTCTTTCATATGGGATTTAATTTTTTATGGAAATTGTAAAGTAGGTTTGGGACTCGGAAAAGAGGCTCTAGTCTCATGTATATGTCTTTAAAGACGAAATTACTTCTTTTGCAGTTATGCAAACTAGTCCCGACATGCAAGTCTAGCTTCGGTTCTTTGCTCTACTGTAGGTTATTTCAACTTTCAAGAGAGCACATGCGACAATTGAATTTTTCATATCGATTTAATTTCTAAATTTGCAGGTATGTTGGAGATTCTGATGGCAACATCAAGGGTTTTAAGATTGAACAAGAAATACGTCATGTTATACAAATGAGATACACTATACCTTTCTCAGCTTCTCATGGTAAGTAGACGTATATATCAACTTAAGATTTGAAGTGTGTTAAGCATTATCGTGCATCGTAATCTTTTAACAAAAAAACTTGACAAGGCTCAAGCCTTACACCTTTGGGACATTCTTGTTTACTCTCTAGTCTAGGCTTGATGACAGTGACATCATTATGCTCTCCTTGACTACAAAATCCTCTTAAATGAATAAAGGATGCTACATGATTCATTTGGAGTTTCCTAATGGCTCCTTTGAAACCTACAATGCCAAACTTCAGAGTTGATCGTTTATTTGAAAAACAGAAAGCTCTGTGACCTTAATACTATCCCTGATTACAGGGTATATTATTCATGTGTTAGTTCTGTTGCTGTCATTCTGAGAATTCTTGAAGTTTACTTTGTGGTACCATGTCTTATTTTATTGATATATCAAACTTGATTGACCATTTTGTTTAGGACATCCAACTGAAGCTTTAGATGATAGGGCTGTTATGTCCATACTTCCTCAACCAACAACTGAAAGTAAAAGGTATTCTTACTTTCTCATTCTGTTAAATTTCGTTTAAAATTTAAACTCCGAGGAGATGCCGTTTTTCAAGTACCCTTGACTCTTACTTGTAATATTTAGAGATGGTTTTATGATTTTGTGGGAAATTTTAGAATGCAATGCAACCCGACGGTTTAAACATTGAAAAATGCCTTATAACACATAATGGAAGAAAAATAGCTACTCAAAGTTTGAAAAGACCGTTCCTTATGCTTTAGTAATCCCAAGTGGCAGGTTTGAGTTATCTAATTAAGTCTTCATCATTTGTCTTTTGATCTGATGTTAATAGTTAATGAGCTCTTTTATCTATCTTTGCACTGTTAGTAATAGGTTCTTTTATCTAATGAAGTCCGACAAATGAAAATATGATTAAACAGAAGTCCTCATTTCCCACTCCACTCCCTTGGCTCATGAAAATGGTGCCAAACATGTTAGAAAATGATCAATTAAACGTGCTTGGGCAGTAAAGTCAACTACAAGTTTGAAAAGTGAAAAAACCTCAAGTTGTAAGAAAATATGAAAGTTTCTTTTAGCGGTGACACAAAAAGTGTGTTGGCTGAAGATCAACAGCAGTAAGGAAATAGTAATATGGCTTTAGAAAGACTAAATGAAAAGGTTAATGGGAGTCCCACTATTGGAATTTCAGATGGTCATGGTTCAACAGTAAATAAGTTGCCTTTAGCAAATGAAGCGACCTTGTGTAAATGTGACACCATTACAAATAAAACACAATGTTTTTTGTCTTTCAATAGAAGACTTTGAGGTTTAGTATTTCCTGTAAAGTCTATGATATGACTAAAATTGCCCATCTTTTCAATCAAATTGATGAAGTTTATTTGCTATATCAAATTGATGAAGTTTATTTGCTATATCAAATTGCTATATCAAATTTTTGCTTTTTCATTCACATTAGGAAAATTCTCGACATTTACTATAATATTATTTATTTAAATTAAAATATCAAAAATTAAATTAATTTATTCTTAATTTAAATTAATTAATTTATAAATATAATAAGAATTAGGATCCACTTATATTGTGTAAAACTCTTTTAGGTTTGCATCTTTTTAGTCTCATTGGATTGAGAGAAATCAAAGGTTCAGATTAATTCGTTTTTAGTGAATATCTGTTCATTTTCCATGGTCAATCTTAGTCTTTAATTTATTTCATTCAATGGTCCTAAAATGATGTAAAATTAAAGAGTTTTACACACTATAATTGGATTTTGCCCCCATATAATAATATTAATATTTAAATTATAATTTTAAATTATATTAATATATTCTTAAATTAAATTGATTTAAATTATTATAATATTATTTAAATATTTTTATATAATTTATTCTTAAATTAAATTAATTAATTAATATAAATTTTAAATATAATTAGGATTAGGATCCATTTATACTATGTAAAACTCTTTTAGTCACATTTTTAGAGCCATTGGATTAAGATAAATCAAAGATTGAGATTAATTCATTTTTTTAGTGAATATCTTTTCATTTTCCACGATTAATTTCACTCTTTAATTTCTCCCATCTACTGGTTTTAAAATGGTATAAACTAAAAGAGTTTTACACAATATAATTAGATCATGCCCTATATAATAATATTAATATTTAAATTATAGATTTAAATTATATAAATATGTTCTTAACATAAATAATTTAAATTATTCTAATATTATTGAAATATTTTTAAATTAAATTAATTTATTCTTAAATTATATTGTTTATATAGTTTATAAATATAATAATATTATAAATATCATAAGAATTTAGGTATAATTACCCTTTTATCCTAAGCCAACGGTTGAAATCCCATCTATAAAAATAAAAACTGAGCTCTACTTATCACCCATTGATTATATCAATCAATTCTTTAGATTCTCAGGTTAGTTTCTTTTACCCAATTCTTGTACTGTTACATTTTTCTTTTAATTTATACTTTTGTTAGATTATATTTTGTGATGAATTTTTTCTGGGTTTTTTAAAAATTTGATTTATATTCTGATTACAGATTAGGGATTTTGTTTTTTTACCTAAATCTAATAAATTGTTGACATTTGAGTTTTCATTTCTGATTACATGTTAGTGTTGTTTTGAACCTGTTATTTCATTTGCAAAGGTTTCTCAGTTTTGCATGTGACCAATTCCCTTTCATTTATGCCTGGTTTGGTTTCTCTTTTGTTGCGTTTCTCTGTGTTTGCTTAGTAAGAAAAAATACGAAAAATAAAATTTAGGACATTGTATTATTTGTTTGTAAATATAGTTTCTATGTACTTCCATTTTCATTGTTTTCACATGTTGATGCCTTTGGTCTAGTGATTCAATTTGCTTTCTTCAGTTAACTCTGTCTTTTTTTATTCAAATTATTTTTTTAATGTGACAATCGATGTGTTATTTTTTTATTGCATGAATATGTTTATAATAGGCTTTCAATTCAAGTTTATTTTTCATAATTTCTCATATTTTGTTCCTTTTAATTTTGGTTTTTTCTTGACTTAAAATCTTTGAAACGTTTCAAATATGGATGATATTTTACTTTTATACAAGGGTTTGTTTAATTGATATTGATACAGCTTCAAGGGTTTACTATGAAACAAATGGTGTATCCATGGAAGACATGTGAAACTATCTGGTGTTCTCATGGACTAACCAAGGGTTCACTGGTTTACCTTAATTGTCTTGTCCAATTTATGTTTAAATCTACAAAGGTAACTATCCTTGAATCCAGGAACAACACAGGTTTAGCCTTAAAAATTCTCTTTCTTTTTTGTTTGAAACTTGGAATAAATAAGCAAATGAAGTAGTGGTAATTTTTATGAATATGGATGATTTGTTTACAGATGGAGATTCTATTTTGCTCAACGGTAGTTGATATTTCTTTCTTACTTGAGCCAATGGTTCTAAATAGAAAGATCTTTAAGGCATGGAATTCTTGTTCTCAAGTAAGCAACAATACCCTTTTTTTATTATATTGATTGACTTCTTTCTTGCACCCCTACCCTCCTGCATTGCCAGGGGTGGCGCTGTATGAAATAATATATCTGTTATTGAAGATTTAATGCAGAAATCCAAAGGTGAGGAGACTGGTGAGCACACTCTAGCAATGCTTAAGGCAGAGAAAGAAGGACTAGAATCACCACTTCACAATGAGAAATGGTTGTCTGTCCAGCTAAAGCAAGAACTAGCATATGCAGAGGCTTAACACAGACAAGTACAAGGTATAATTTTATTAATTTATTCTTAAATTAATTTATTTGTATAATTTATAAATATAATAATAATATTTAAACTATAGATTATAAAATATTATAAGAATATACTAATTTAAATTATATCCAGGGTTTGGTGATCAGTTTTATTCACTCCTTTTGACCATCACTGTTGAAAGTAAAATCATTCATGGTTAAGTTTATAACTCCTATTGTGAAGGTATTACTGGCGAGAATTTACATGTTCAATATTTGCAGCAAGCTTTCTTGTTGTTTATGCTCTTTTTTTTTTGCACAGGCTTCTCACATGGTCAACAATATGAAGGAAGAGATACCATATTATTCCATGCCGGAGTACCATTCTCGGAAGGAAAGTTTGGGTGGTAATAGAAAGGGCTAGATTGTTAAGTACCGTTTTTTATTTCTATCCCTTTATTTATTTATTTATTCTGCATATATGAAATGAATATGCTTTTGCTTCATATATTAGACAAAAGAAATGAAAAACAAGATGCTTTGTTTCTATCTTATCATGATCCTTGATATGTGTAATATTTAGAGAAAATATATAAAGACTATGAGGTTAGAAATGCAAGTGTTTACACATATTTCATCTATCTTGATTTTTTCTTTTCTCAATCTTGTACAGGTGTGTGCCTATGAAAGCATGCAAGTTGGTATGTACCAACTTAAACATTTAGGAATCACACAACTAACAACTTTAACCAGTGCTATGAGTCAACTTTTGCTACTGCATCAAACATTGAATTGGAGCTGCAGATAACTCCATGGAATCTAAGTGGCAATTTTGTTGCATGTACAAGCCAGGTAAAATGTTACTTCTACTAGTAAGGAAGTACTAATGTTTTTGCGTTTCAAATAAGCTATAAATCAACAAAATCACATATTTTGAAGCTGACATTTCCAATCATATTCTATAAAATTATATTAATATATTCTTAAATTAAATTAATTTAGATTATTCTAATATTATTTAAAATATTTTTATAAAGCATTTTCCGTACATTGCTTATAGTGTTGTGATTTGTTTTCCTTATTGAATGGTTTTCAAACTTTGATTTATTAATTTATTCTTAAATGAAATTAAATTATTTGTATAATTTATCAAAATCATAATATTAATATTTAAACTATAAATTATAAACTATAAATTATTATATATTTGTTTTTTGGGGATTAAAATTGTTTGTGCTTGAAATGCTGGCGTTGGGGGCTTAATATATGGGCTTTGTTATCAGTCTTAATGTACCTTTTAGATTGAAACCTTAATTAATGGCATGCAATTGCTTGTTCTTTTTGATATTTTTCATAGTTCCTATGCAGTTTCTGCCCAAATTCGTAAAAACTTGATTGTTTGTGTAAATTTCGTTAGAGGAGTAAAGTTTCTAGGTAGTTGAGGATTTGATCGACTAATGATATGTAATTTGAAAGCTGACTGTTACACTTTTTTCAGGATGGTTATAATTCGGACAAGTCAAAGCAAAGTACTGTTGATTTTACTGTTTGTGTGAGTTCCTAACCTTTTCTTTCTAAGATTAAAGAACTACTTTTAAAACTAGGCGTTTTCAAAATTCAAATTTTCACGTGCCCATGCGTCTTTCCACCGACAACCACCAGTCGTCCGCCGCCTTCGTCCGCCACGCGCCGCCGCCGCCGTCAACCGTCATCCTCCACACTCCGACCACCGTTTTGAAGTCGTTTTCCCTGGGAAGATCGCCAGCACAAGGTGTTTCCTTTTCTGGGTTTGGTTTTCCGATTAAGACTCTTATTTGTTGTAGATCTAAACGCCGCTCACGACCGTTTTCATCTCCATCCGTTGAACGTACACCGGACATTGCATCTCCTCTGTACTCAGAGCCTTTCTGCGACCATAACACATTTTCTTAGTGTCGAGAATAGTTGCATCTCTCCATGATTTTGTAGTGAGCAGTTTCAGCAAGAACAGACTCACTACTCCAAACCTTCTGCTTTTCTCCTCTGCCGACCCAGTCTTCAGACTCATCTATTGGTGGATTTCCTCCGACACTGCCCATTTAGCTTTGAGCTCTTGTTCTGGGAATTTTATATCTAGGGGTGATACGTAGACTTCAGTTTACTTCGCCGGTAGAACAGATGCAGTGAGCAGTTTTGCAGTGAGCAGTTTCAGCAAGAACAGACGTTCACTGCTCTAAACCTTCTGCTTTTCTCCTCTGTTGTCCCAGTCTTCAGACTCATTTATTGGTGGATTTCCTCCGACACTGCCGATTCAACTCTGAGCTCTTATTCTAGGAATTTTTTTTTCCAGATTAGTTCGTCAAGTATCTGGGTTTTTTACTTCATCAGTCTTTCATCACATGCCGGGTGCTAGAATCCACTGTTCTCTCCAGCAGAGACCTTCGGTCCATGCTCATACACCCTCTGCAGCTGCATCTTCTCCGTCATCTCACCATTCTAATCGTGACGAGGTTCGTACTATCTTCATTATGGGT